CAATTTCAGCCTGATGGCCTAAACGTTGCACAACAAATGTTTTGGGGCCTTTGACCACTACATATTGCAGTGAGCATCTGCATATCAAACCTGCTGAATGGAAAAAAGACCTCCGCGCACAAAAGCTCAAATCTGGGGCACCTCAAAGTCCAACAAGTTTCAACGTTGTCTCATCCAGGAAACATTCCGGGATGGATTTGCCATGAGAAAGAGAGAGGGAAAAAAGAGAGAGAGTGTGTGTGTGTGTGCACATACATACGAACATGAGCATGCCTAAAAATAAAAAATAACAATACAATATTATTAATTACACGCATGTGAACCTCAGATACATTCTTCTTATGCATCCCCCTCCAGCCCCGATTTGTTGGGACGACCCAACTGGCACATCTTCTTTGGAGCCGACCATGGTTCAGCTTCAAACACTTCGCCTCCTTCATGCGGCCCTTGATGGTTCCAATGACTGCAGTAAAGGGCTCCAACTCCTTCAAGTTGAGCCTCGTGGGAATGGAAATTGTATAGGAGATCCACAGGAAACCGGAGCTCACTTGAAATGGCCCAGAAGATTCTTGAAGACTATAGCAACTATGGTGACCTTGTTTGAAAGATTGTTTCCAGTTCATTTCCTCATGGGTCTTTGTCCAGGCGTCGGCTGGCACGTTTTGCTTATCACTTGGCTTACCCTACAGGCTGTGTGTCTTTGGCTGGGCGGCCCCATCCAAGCCCTGATCCATCACCATCTGGCACACCGAGGCACTCAACCAGCCGAATGTCCTTGAAATTCTCAGAGTAGAGGCGATGAACCTCCCAGTACTGATCAGCTGTGGCCCAGAGAGGCCATTGAAATCATGAAAGATATGGTGGAGGTCTTCCTTGTCTTCCCCACCCTCATTCCATGACCAAAAACCCCTGAAATCTAACAGAATAGCTCACATGGAACCTTCAAAACCCGCAGCGAAGAATGATGTCCAATCGCATTGCATCTCCGTCTTTCTGTATATATGTATGTATGTGTATATATATATGTGTGTGTGTATTTATGTATGTGTATACGTATGTGTATCTGTGTCTATATATATATGATATGATATGATATGATATGATATTATATGATATGATATGATATGATATGATATGTGTGTGTGCGCGTCTGGGAAAACAATAGAGTAAAAATGAATATATGATATCATACCCCCATGTCTTTTCAAAGGCCATGTCTTGGAAGCTGATTGCTCTGATGCCGCCTCCACGAGCTCCTGGGAAGCTTGCCAGCCAGGCAGTGTCTCGATCTGCAGAATGCGCTGGGCATAGCGGATGGGCAGCTCCTGGGCTTCTGGGATGACCTCCGGACCCACAAATGGGGGATCTCAAGTGCGGGGACAAATGCCTCAGTGCTTCACGTTTGGATAGAGATATTGTGCATTTATGTAGACACACACATATACATATATATATATATGTATATATGTATGTATATATATATTTAGATAGATAGATAGATAGATAGACAGATAGATAGATAGATAGATAGGTTAGGCATAATCATATATATATATGTGAAATGCACGGATATAAAGCAAAATACGGTATTTGCATGCATTCTTTTACAGCATTGCATTATGGTACGCTAGGCTGTGCTACATCACCTTGCAAATACGCACATTTGTGTTTTTTTACAGGGGTAGTATATATTTAGATGCTATGTGGCTTTACAAATGGGGCCCCACCCTAACGTAACAGGCATAAATGTATAACTTGCATTAGCTCTTCGGTGCTTTTTGCAAACCGCAAGGGCTGTGGATTAATAGGACAGGAAAGTAGCAGCATAAGTATGTGCGGGAAGTCATGCACGTCGGAGTGGTTGGACTTGTTCGGGAGTGGCGGCAGTTCCTTGCAGAAATTCTCCCACGAAGTGTTGAAAAGCTTCTGCACCGGTTTTGGCCGTTCCAGTTGATAGTTCTCCCAAAGTTCTCGAAGCCAATCAGCCACTCAGCCCTTCATCACATCCAGGTCGGTCCCCTTTATGCCCAAAGAAGTGCCACAATATCCCCAATGATTTGAACCACACGCATCTGATCATCTTAGTCTTTCACATCTAACGATTTCATACCATATGGGCGGTGACAGATCTCAATGTTTCACACTTAGACTGAAACTTCCGAACGGCCCGAAAATCGGCCCAGCGTTTTCAGCAATTTTCATGTTCATTGTGATTTTCGTCTTGTCGAGAACTTGGCATTTGCCACATGTTTATATCATGGTGGTGTCTTTTGGCACTTCATTTCCATTGGGATTTATGAAAATTCCTTGCTTATTGCAGTGGGAGTTCAAAAATGCATGTTGAACACCGTCAAAATACGTTACGTGTTTTGGATAGTTTTGCGTTTCGCCACAGCGCCAGCGATTCTTTTCCATCACTTCAACTTGCGGACCATCTTTGCAGTAATATCAAATATCACACACATCAGCATTTCGATGTGCGCATTGCCATTGCCAAGCCTTGACATATGTCATGATCATTGGACTTTGGCTAGACAGGCTACCTGGCAGCATCTTTTTACAGGCCTTCCAGCAACTATCTATTGTACCAGTATGTGCAAGCAGCAAGCACCTTTGGGCTGCCTCGCTGGACACGGCGCGCAGTCTTTGTAAATTGGCCTTTGGAGTGGTTCACAAACTCATACGCGTACAACGTAACATGAAGTCTGTTCACCGAAGTGCAACATAAGCGCGCAACGTAACATGAAGTGTGTTCACCGACGTACAACAGAAGTGTGCAACGTAACGTGTGAAGTGTGTTCACCGGAGTACAACAGAAGTGTGCAACGTAACATGAAGTTTGGTCACCGAAGTACAAAAGAAGTGTGCAACGTAACATGAAGTGTGCTCACCGAAGTACAACAGAAGTGTGCAACGTAACATGAAGTTTGGTCACCGAAGTACTACAGAAGTGCGCGACGTAACATGAAGTTTGGTCACCAAAGAATATCGATGATAACGCAATTAGACGCAAGACGTTATCACACCCCCCCACCCCACCCCCCGCCCCCCAACATATCACAACGCAAAAAAACGCAAAAAAACGAAAAAAACGCTGGGCCGGTTTTTGGGCCGTAGGCTTAAATTTCATGCGAAATCCCCACCTGCGAAACCGCCAAGCGTCGCGGTACGCCAGGGTAGCCGCCTGCTCGGGCGTCTTGGCATCCAAGATCTGCCGCAGGGTGATGGACTTGGGCTCGCGCCCGGCGAAGAACACCACCTTTTGGCGCTGGCACGGGCCGGATTTCAACACATCTATGAGGAAAGATGTGAAAATCATCTGCAAATGGAGTTTCATCATCAGTTCATTGGGATCTTATGGGGCGTGTCTATAAAGTTGGGCGGAATTAGCTGGCATTGAATGAGTTCACCAAAACATTTGGGTCATCAACGCCTTCCTGACCGTAAACCAATAAAATACAACATTCCGAATAAGAAAAGGGAGGACATATATCAATATATAACATAACGAATACATGGCTTTCAATATGCCAATCTACCGGCGCTTGCCTAACATCTCAGTTTCCCCTGTGCCTCAGCCTGGAGGAACTCATTCAAACGCTCCTGAGACACCTGGACCTCCGCGGAGAAACATCTCCTCACAGGTGGAAAGCCAGCGTTCCTGGAGCATGGGAAAAAACATGAAAAATGTTGTGTGAAATTATCTAAATATCTATAAATACCATTGGTTTTTGCACATGTTCCCTCTCTATACTGGAGCAACTGGTCGGCAACAAGTTTGAAACCACTCCACGCATAGTCTTGTAATGGTGGGCCTGGCCCTGGCCGCACCGCGAAGGCTGCGAAAGAAGGGTCGCAGACGAGGCACAAGGAAGGCCATGGCGCCGGCAAGATGCTTAAAAAAAGTCGTTAAAGGGGAAATCTGTTTGAAGGACATCTGACATCATCTAACTCTGAAAGACCAAACATTTCATTTCACTTGAGTCCCTCTGATATCTTTAAACAACGTATTAATGTCTTAATTCCATCCTACAAAAGGATCTGAAATGGACATTATAAAAACGCAATAGTCCCAAGTTAAAAATGGCTTCCCTATCCAAAGCATGTTGGATTTCCAGAGAGTATATCCTGATATCTGGTGGGTGGCATCAACCCATCCCAAAGATACTACAACCATCCATAACTATTGATTCGAGGATGGTGACACCAGGTGCAGAAAAAAAAATACTAAAAAAAATAAAAAATACTAAAAAATACTAAACATCCAGGTGCCCGAAAGATCCTAAAGGCCCTATCACTTTGTATTTACAGTCAAGTACCGCGACCTGAGACTGACCTGGGCCAAATCGCTGAATCCTCCGAAGTCAGAGAGCTGTGGAGCTTCCCCAAATGTCGGTACGGAAACGCCATGCGGGCGGCATATGATACGGAATGAATATATATATATATATATTATATTATAATATATTTGTTTTATTTATCTATGTATTTATTTATGTATTTATGCATTTATTTATTTATTCATTTATTTATTTATTTGTTTTATTTATTTATTTATTTACGTATTTATTTATTTATTTTATTTATTTATGTATTTATGTATTTATGTATTTATGCAATTATTTATTTAGTTATTTCTGTCTGTCTGTCTGTATGTATGTATGTATGTGTGTATTTGTGTATCAGATAATACATCACATAAAACTATATATCTATTCAATTATAATTATTATATATAATTATATGGAACATCGTGTTTTATGGTTTATGGTGTTTTATGATGGCTTAAGGCAAGGTGCTTTTTTAGCTGTTTTGGAAAATGACAGGAGCCTGCCACTCTCCAAAAATGGCACCCATGCCTTCTGAGCTCGACTCTTGGAACGTGGGATCAAAAAGGCCTGGCAGACTCGGCTCTGCTGAACGATGCAGAAGGAAACACAATCAGATTGGAGTAGTTCCTGATGGTTTGCCAAGAAACCTTCAAGGTAGCTCACATTTCACTAGACCTCATATTGCAGAGGCTTGATGACAAAGCTCTGCACCTGGTGGCTGTGTAGACCTGGGGCGTCTTCGATCTTCTCATCTTCCTGTGCAGGGCGGTAACTTAACGCATCTATAATGAGGCGGAGCCAAAAGGACGTCCAACACCCAAAAAGAACCATCCGCCCGAAAATTCCAAAGTGCAAAGGTCACCAGAGTCGGGCGTCGCCAACTACCACTGTTGCATTTAAAACAACACCCCCCAACAAAAAAACACACAACTGCTGGGCCTTGCGCTTCAATTGCTCTCGCAACTCGGAGAGTGCCACCTGGCCGCGCCAGGCTTTGGGAGCTGGGTCCCTGGGTCTTGCCAGCCCCAGTGCGCCGTGCGCCTCACCCTCAGTGGCACCTGGCCATGACGCATCGACCGCCAAAAGCTGAGCATGGAACCGTTGAACCGTTAAACCCCTCAAAATCCCGAAATGGATCGCGAACTTTCACAATTCAAAGTATCATGCGGCTGGGAAACTCTTGGCAGCTCCTTCACTCCCCATTCAACGAGGAATATACGGATAGCTGTTGGACAAATCTGGACTATGCTAATTTAATCTTGGAAACATCCGAAATCATCCGAATCACTGGAGAACAAAAATCTCTAAAATTGCAGGGCATCCATCTTCACACAGCGTGCTCGTGGCCCTCTGGCAGTATCCCAGCCTTCCACCGCGATCTTTGGTCTCTCCACAGGCGTCGCCTGGGGAAGATACCGCGGCGCGAGGAGATTTTTTGGCGGTACCTTGATCCTGAGATGTAGTGGTCACATGATAGGCAACTTGTGAATCTGTGTCTTTCAATGCATGACAGTATCATGGCTGGCCAATGATGCGGCCATGCATTGAAGACACTGATTCACAATTGTGAGCGACGTGAATTTCAATTATGAATGTTCTGCGTACTCTATCCTTCCTTGACTCAAAATTTGCACCCCAAAATGACTCCAAAAGTTCAAGATCAGAAATTCATTGTCGAAATGCCGCGCGCGCAGTACATCTCCCGAATAGCCCCCGCTGCGGACGACCTTGCTAGACAAAGCCTCACGACGTCGGACCAGCTCCTAGCTCATGATGGCTGGCAATTCATTGCGTACGTCATGATTTCTCAAGTTTATTTTTGCATATTTTTGCAAATGGATGCGTGGAATGTCCACAGCACAAATCCTCCGAGATTTACTTGGGGATCTGGTCAGAGCTTCACTTGGCATCTGACAATCCCCATCAGCTCGTAAATCATCTGAATCAAGTTGGCAAGTTTTGCAGCCACCGATGTTCACTAGAGGCTAGAGGTTTCCCATTGCTGGCCATACATGGGGTTCCAGTCATGGGGGTCCCCCCCAAATCATCCACTTTTTCTTCGGGGTTTTCCATCATGAACCATCCAGCGATTGGGGCATCCCCGATTTTAGCATCCAGTATAAACCACCCATTGTAAACCATCATAAACCATCCATTTTACTTGTATCCTGACATCCACTTTCTCTGTCGCTTAATCTCCTGCTGCAACTGTTTGATGCGACTGTGTCGTTCCTCCGCCTCTCACAGCCAACAGCAACGCCATGGCTGGTGGCTCGACCCAACCATAGGCCAAATATGTCCTTTAAGAAACCGTAAACATAGATCTGAAAGGAATGCAGGCTACAGCAAAATGCAACAAATTGTAGCAGATTGTAGCGAATCGAAGCAAAAAAACGGACACTGCCACGCCTCCGCCAGCGCCACCTTAGCCACCCGTGCAGCGGTCTGTACCGACTCCCCAGGCCTGGTGGCGAAGGGACTGGTGGGAGCCAGTGGGAACATAGGATGAAATTAAACATCACTGGTTTGACCGCGAATGTCTATCTATCCTATCCTACTGGCAGTTCCCCAAGCAGTGTGTCCACACTGAAGGGTTTTTACTGTAGGTGTTAAGGCTTGGGTTAAATCAGGGTTCTCCATCTGATCCCCGGCCCATTCTGCTGCAAATTCTCGCGCTAAATCGCTCAGACGAGACGTCCATGGTTTTTCGAGCTCTCAGGGCGCGGCATTTCTCGCGTAAAATTGCTCTTGTGAGATGTCCATGCATGTCGATTTCGACCGCGCAGGCTCGCACAAAACGTAGGCCTAAGTCTTGGGGCACGGCACTTTTCTTGTAAATTCTTGCATGAAATGGCTCTTGCGAGATGTCCATGTGCATTTCGATTTGCGCAGGCTCGCACAAAGTCCGTGCCGCGGGTTTTTCAAGCTCTTGGGGCGCAGCATTTTCCTATAAATTCTCGCGTAGACGGGCTCTTGTGGAGATCCTGCTACATTCCTCTCTAAAAGGTCCTTGTATGATCCTGTATGGGTCCTTAACGAAAGATCTTGTGGAGATCTGGGAGGTCCTTGCATGAAGACCTTGCGGGCGCCATGTCTGAGAGGTGCTTGTATGGAAACTCTTACTCTTGTATCAAGATCTTGTAAGATCCGCTCCCGCAACAGCAGGTCCTTTTATGGCAATCTTGTGAGATTCTCTTAGGGTCCTGGCATAAAGACCTTGCCCAAGGTTTTGTTTACAATTCCTTGTGCGAAGATCTTGTGGAGATCCTAGCCAAATTCTGTCAGAAGCCTTTGCATGATCTTGTGCAAGTCCTTGTGAGAAGCTCTTGAAGAGGTCCTGGTGAAATCCTCTCAAGGTGTCCTTGCAGGTCCTTATGGGAAGATCTTGTGGGGATCCTGCTGGATTTTTTCCTCAAGAGGTCCTTGCATTAATATCTTGAAGATCCTCTGCATTGGTGCTTGCATGAAAATGATTTTGGGATTCTCAAAGGAAATTCTTGCATGAAAATATTGTGAGCTCCTCTATATAGATCTATATAAAAGGTCCTGCTGCTGCAGTTGTGATCATGTCTTACCTCATTTGTTACTGTTCCATAGCTACTGTTGCTTGTATCTGCTACATTGACTTCCTACTCCCCACACTGTTTGGGGTCTTTTGCCGGCGTAATATGTTTATTCATTCATATGAAGGTTTCCTGCAATTTCGGGTAACCCAATAGCTGGATGGTTGGTAATGGAAAATTCTATTAAAATGGATGATGCAAGGGGGTGTCCCCATGACAGGTGTCCTTGAGGGTGTGGGTGGTGCAGGCAGCGCCAGGAGCGCCGGCGAGGTGTCTGGTGCCTGGCCACGCGAAGAAAGGAGGCCATGGTTATATCAAATGATGGTTAATAACGGTTATATAATAATGATGGTTAATAATGATGGTTAATAATGATGGTTAATAAGGATGGTTAATAATGATGGTTAATAAGGATGGTTAATAATGATGCTTAATAATGATGGTTAATAATGATGGAATCATGCTTAATAGTTGTTAATGATGGTTGATGGTTAGTACAGTAATACCTGATAATGGCTGATAATGGCTGATGATGGGATCCTTAACGGGGATTGCCCTATGGTAATTTGACATATGGAAAATGGATGAACGTGGCCCATTCACAAATGATTTTCCAATCTATTTTTGGCGGTTGAACCCCATTCTTGGGTTTCATGTATTGCTCCTTTCTTTTGGTGGGCAAAATCTGAAAGGGTGAGTATGAAAGAATCACGACCAGCCAATCTGCACATCCCAGGGTCTCAAGAATTTGACACAAACACGAATAATCTGACAACTGATTGGTGATTGGTGGCTTCGACACATCGGAAGCATAGTTGTCACTTAGTGCAACCAATATTTGCTCTTTGTTCCAGAAATCGAGTTTTTCCTACACACTATCGCTGAACTTTGTTTGAAAGGCTAGTTCTTTCCTCCCCATGTCGAAACCTAGGAGAAGGCTACCTTGTAACGGTGCACGCTGTTGAAGCCTTTCCATCATTATCGTCGGCTGCACCTTGCGGCGTGATCTTGACACCAAGGAAGTTGGAACTTTGGGAATTCGCTTTTCACCTCAGCATGTGGGCCAAACCTGTCCCCTCAGGAAAGAATCGTCTATGATTAGCTACTTAGAACATGCCCGAAAAGATGCTACCATACAGATCTATACAGTTATACATAATTGATTATTTATTTATATTTATATATACAGTATATATGCACGCGTATGTATATATACATATATACATAACAAACAATCTACTGATACTGATGCTATCCAAGGTCCAGTGCTCAGCCATCTACTGTTATCAACTGGCTCATGTCCAGCTGAGCGTCTGGGTTTTCCATGGCTTTCTGCAATCAGGGCATCCATGCGTTCCTGCCAGGCCAGCTATGTGGACCCTCCGCAAGGTGTATCCAGCGATGGTTAATCCATGTGAGTCCCACATCTTCCCATGATACAATTCTATCGTGGTATTCCCAATTGAAATCAATTGGGTGGAATTCAAAGTCCATTTACTTCCATTTACTCCCATTTACTTCCGTCCTTCATTCCATGGTTATTCCATCCACTACCTTTCGTTGAATCATCCGCCTCGGCCGACAAGCGCCGCATCAGCTCGGACGCCACATGCAAGGCCGAGTCCTCTCCGGCGCCTGCTGCATGTAATCAGCCACGTGGGTTTAATACGGTTTAACCTGGTTGAACCATGTTTGACATGACTCATGCTTATTCTTTAGAAGTCGATGATACACAGTAACTATGTTTTTTTTGTTGTTTAACCTGGTGTAACACGATTTAACACTGCTCGACATGGTTTGAAATGGTTTGATATTGGCTTAATATGGTTTAATGGTGTTTAATGTGGGTACAGCAACATAAAACGAGGAATCGGACTGACATATAACTATATTGTAGTGTTTGCCCAGAAATTGGGGACCAATATATATATATATAATATATATATATATCAAAAACATTGTGGGCTCAATCTGGAAGATGCGAAACGATGATGGGAAATTGCATGAAATTGCAGTTGTTTCATGGGGAAAATGAAGTTTTAATCTCCCAAATGGGGAATGTTGACCCTAACAAACGAAGCGTTCAATCAATAAAAAGCAAGAAACTGACATGATATGAACTGTTTCTGCAATTGCTATTATTGCAATAACTCGGTCCACAAAGACAAACGATGACAAAAGTTCGCATATCCCAAAGGAACTATAAGCGGTGGTGTGCCGTTCAGCATGAAGGGGATTGCCAATTGTCACTGAGGGATATCCCCACCAACAAAAAGCCACTGCCACTGACAGTAAAAAGACTGCATCCACCACACTTGATACGTCATTTGGTTCTACAGTTCTACAGGGTTTCGGAAAATCACTTCTACGCCTGGCATTCCTTCATCTTCCTTTCAATTCAATCCAATTTTGGCGCCCTAACATCATGTCAGGGTTGTAAAAAGCGCCCACGGGGGCTCAGGAAACTTCCCAACCACCCCGCCGCCTGCATGTGGGCTTCCAACCTTCGCCTGAGGCATGAAGTTCTACAGTGATATGATGTGAGATGGGTGACGTCGACATATTGTCCCGAAAACAAGTCACATGTTCAATGGTCAATTCCAGCAGTGTATCTTGGAATATCTTGGATATGTCTCCACACTGGATCCGAGTTCACCACGTTTATGTTGTTTCTTTTTGGTGCTGGATAAAGCCATGGTGAACCATATAATTAAGTCCTAACATCACAAGGATACACCACAAGCAATCCATCCCTCACCACCAGCAGCAGCAACGTCACCACCACATGCCATGCTCCGTCGGAGCGTGGCCTCCATCCGCTCAGTTGGCTCCAGTCGCCGTCTCTTGGGGTTTGGATCCTGGTGTTGGAGGTTGATCACTGCCGCAGTTGTTTCATGTAGTTTCCTTAAGTGCCGGGTAAGAAGTCATTTCAAATGGGGATACCATGACAACATTTCCGAAACAATCTATGCGCACATTGTGGGCACCTAACCCACCATGTGCACAGCTCCTTCGGCACCTCGCCATCGGTCTGCTTTGGTGCGGCGGTTTGAGGCTCTGCCTCATGGCGCCGATCTGCATGGTGACTTGTATCACAGGAAAAAAAATCTGGAGCAAGTCACGCGCCTTTTCGGGCTTTATTTCACTTTTTCCCCAGCTTGTTGCCAGCTCCCCTTCTTCCATACTTCCAGCCTTGGAATGGTCCCAGCGTTGCTCGGCCACATTTAGGCGCTCCTCGAGGCTCGCCAATTGGCTCTTGGAGCTTTCCTGTTCCATCCGCAACTTCATCCTGGCGAGGGCGGTTCGGACCTGGAACATCCCTCACGGTTCCTGGCATCCCAGTCGCAGCAATCGAGATTCTACAGGTATGCGGTGAGAACCAAATTTTCAGACTGGCGAATGGATCACCCCCAGAAAACGCACAAGAACAGCCAGGCAGCCCGGAATCCTTGAGACAGCGCCTGTCCCTGGCACTGGTGTTACCGTCCCTCTGGCCTCAGCTCCTTCATCTCCATTTCTAGGGCTTGAATTCTTCCCTGGGGACCGGCAATGGGAATCTTTGCAGTGGCCAAGGCTCTGGAAATCCCTTGTTATCTGGGTCCTGAAGAATCCCCTGCTAGTCATGGTCTCCCACCTCTCTCAACTTACTCAAATTGCAAAGGTGAAGCAAAGACTGGTGGATTCACATGATGCACTCTCCAAATTCCTCCGCCCTGACAGCAGTTAGCAAGCTAGCTGCTACGCCTCAAGCTCTTTGTGGCCTTCATGACTCATTCGCAATGCCTGAAGCTGCCAAGTGAGGTCATCTCATATCTCTCTCTCTCTCTCTCCCTTTCTCTTTCTCTACACTTTCGTAGAAGTCCGAAAGAATCTTGTGATCTCATCCCGGGTGGCTCGGGATGGTCTGCAGGAGTCCCTGCCTGAACCTCATCCTCCAAGCGTGCCAAAGCATTGGCACTTTGATCCTCCAAACATGGCTGGTTGGATGGCTTGCGCTTGGGCGGTCCGCCGTGCGAACTGAAATAAATACCCTGATATGCTGTGTACATATCCTACATAGTCCTGGTGGAACACCCATAGTCTTCACACAGCTGTCCCGGTGCCTGGAGGTCTTATATAGGTCCTACTGGGAAGAATATTGAGGATGCAAATATCCATCAAATATGGGTACATGTGAGTCAATACCCTGGTACCCTGGTGAACCCAAAACAGCTGGTGAATTGATGTTCACCACCCAAAAAATGAAATTTACATTAAATTTACCAGGTAGCATCAGGTAGCTAGGGAAAATTGTCCACATAGTTCAGTGATTTACCATTTACCCATTAATTAAAAGGGGTGATGTTTGATAGTATGCGGAGATAAAAACAGAAGGTATCCATCACTTGGCGCCTCTTCGCCCAGGCTGAAGAAGTCCAGGACTTTGCGGCTCTGTTCCAGGCTCTCAGATCCTGCCGAGATGGCGCACACAATGACCTCAGCGATGGACTCGCGCCAACGGTCGTTGTGAAATGCTTGGAAATCCATGGGGTGCTGGTCAAAGATGAACATGGATCCGTTGCCCACTTCAGCACCAGTTTCCGGACATTCTATTTGTTTATAATCCCTTCCCGGAAAAAAAATATAAAGCACCCCACAGAAAAGCCCAGGTTTAGTATTGGATCTCGTCATTTTTGGGGCCCACGGGGAGTATATTCAATATGGTGATGGGATGACTTAACCTCTGGGCTGAGTCAATCTCTTTCCTTCGGAAACTGGGAAGGAAAATCCGCCACCTTTGGCAGCAAAAATGGGTCCAGGAGCTTGGCTCCTGGCGGTGATCCATTGCATCCATTTTTTGGGCAAAGAAATGGCCAGTGCTGTGGGCGCTTTTCAGCATCCTGATTTCACTTCCAGGTTCTGTTTGGGTGTTGCCAAACTCCAGCATTCTCCAGCCACCTTCTGAAGCATTTATTCTTCATGGGTTCAAGAATCTCAGGAATGGGCTGAGCCATGCCCCAACTTCGACCTACAGCATATCTACACTATCCGCACTACCCTTCACTATCCCTGGAGGCGCCGCTCACTTCCGCGGCTCCAAATCTTTGGGATCCTCCAAGCGTCTGACCCGATCTCCGCTCTTGGGATCACATTCCCAGATCTCCACTCCTTAAGGACAGCGATGGCACATAATTTCAACCCTGGATTAATAAACCACAACTAATGATACTACTAGTACTAGTACTAGTACTGGTACTAGTAGTAGTAGTAGTAGTAGTAGTAGCAGCAGCAGTAGTAGTAGTAGTAGTAGTCGTAGTCGTAAGTAGTGGTACTAGTAGTCGTCATCGTAGTAGTAGCAATAATAATCATAGCAGCAGCATTGTGTCAATCTCAAGAGCAAATAATATCAAATAAAGTATGTTCATGTCTTTATGAGGTGACCCCACCCCTTTAATCAACCACCAGGGTTTATAAATTTGGGGGTTGGTGTCAACACCTTTTGATAGATATGAGCCATCAGCCCGTCCGCCAATCAGCCAGGACTCCCAAGCCCTTGGGAGGCGGTGCCGCCAAGATCTGGAAAAAGGACGGAACCGTTTTCCTTAGCGGATGAATTTGTTGAATGCACATTCCAAGAAAAATGCTGCGGCCAATACATATGTGTTTTGATCTCCCTCTCTCTCACTCTCTCACTCTCACTCACTCACTCACTCACTCACTCACAAATTCTCTCTCTCTCTCTCTTTTCTTCTAGCTTGAGGTCCCATTCTTGTTATCATTTGTGGCCCCATGTGGCCCCTATTCAACCCCATGTCAATGTAAATATTTGCTGTCATCCAACTTATCTTTAAAAAAAAAAACGGGCTTTATAAAATGATGACGATTTTAACCTGTGCCGACCTGTGCGGGGATCAACATCCAAACAAAAAAAAAAAACGTGCTGCGATGGCCGGAAGGTCCTCACGCAGCTGGGATCTTCGATCTTCAGCCCGGGTAGAGCCAGGCCTAGTATGGCAAAGCACATGGCCATCCGATGGTCGTGGTAGGTGCTGATCCGTGCGTTGCCCGGAGACACCTCGTTGCGCACCGGGAGCACCTCTAGGGTATCGCCTCAGGGGAGCATGGATGTGGCTAAGGGGGATGGATGCATGACCCGACTAAACGATGTGATATATGCATACGGGTGAATGTATTACATATATATATATACATAGATAAACCAAAACAATATATGTATATATATATATATATTGCATCTAATCTATCTAATCCAATCTAATCCAATCCATTCCAATCTAATCCAATCTAATCTATGTGATCTAATCTGTCTCTATAATATCACATAGTAATATAATATATAATCAGAATCATATCTAGTCCAAGCCAATCCAATCTATCTAATCTAACTACTCTATCAATCTATGTCATATTTATCCCCGCATCTGTATACATTTACGCACGCCCTGGTTTATTCATGCTGCCTATGCGTGTATCTTTTCTTTGTTTTTCTTTAGTATCTACTCATCTATCCAGTGGTAATTCACTTGTCTATGTTGAATCAGGGTCTGAACGGAGAGATCCTAGAAATGAACCCATTGTCAGGGTCCACCTTAGTTTTCGGCGGCTGAGTCCAGTATGATCTGCAGAGCAAACTGCAATTGCTGGAGCCTTTTCCAGGACTAGGCCCTAGGCCAACACCCTCCCGCTGGGTCTAAGATATTCTGTGGGCCCCCACGCAAATACTATCAAACACCAACCCACGGAGAAGTGCGTATTTCAGTGCGTGGAAACCATCCTTGGCGGTGTGCCTTGCCAATTTTCTCGTATGCATTTGGAATCGAGAAGAATGTGGATGGCTGACATTTGATTTGAATCTCCAATCCATTCAGCAATCAATTCCATGTGCAGACTGCGTCACCGCTCTCTATCACTCGAAACTTGCACTTTCGCAGCTCGTCATACAGTGCTTTGACGCGCTCGCATTCCTGTTTCCTGCAGAGCTTTCGCCACAGGAATGAGAGAGCGTCGGTCATTGTTGGTCATGACATTCCTGCTTCTAGGTTCTTAGGCCAGTGAAGAAGGAGAATTGACTTGATATAACTTTTTGCATGTGTACCTTGATCAACCAACACCTCAACGACAAGAAAGCAGGCCCCCCGAGAAACGTCTGGTCTTCCTGGAAAAGGATCACAAACCCAACAAAAGAACACTTAAAATAATCTAGAGATATGACTTGGGATATGTAGGGATGGGTTACTAAATCCTCCTTTTATCTAGCAGCGTGTTCGGTTCCGTCCTCATTATCTGACTTTTTCGGTTTTGTTTGTTCATGCGTTTATGCGTATCGGTATGCCTGCATAGTGAGCACTGTAAACCTATGGTGTTCGAACGATTGCATAATATATTCATAGCACATCCTTGTGTCTCTATTCTGTTGCTCATTCTTTGCCTGTTTTCAAACCAGAGACACCCCACTCCTCAGCACTCCCAGTTGGACAAAGGCATATGGACCATCTGCCAAGCCAGAGATGGTGATGGCAGTCATGATCGAGTCACCCAAGTGAGTCCTTGACAGATTTGATGCGGGATCTGTGTGGGATGAATCGCTAATCTGCTCACATGCAACATGGGATGTATCGAAGTGTACCGGGTATGGTTAGAACTGAGACCCCACTCTCTCAATGGATGTGCTGACCTCTAGGACCGGGTTGAAAAGCGATCAAGTGTGTAGTAAAATGTGACAAATTCTCACTGCCAAGTCTCTTTCTAGAGATGATGTAAGGGTCATGGATGTTCTCATGCCCCAGCAAGCTGCGAGACACAAAATAGTAAAAACCTGCACGATAGAAAATCGATCAACAAGCCAGAGTCTAATGGAATGACTGCACCGTTTCTCTCAGAACCATCACATTGAAATTCAGTGAGAGCTTTCCTGCTTGGATGTGGTGGCTGTTCATGGTGGAACCATTTTTGAAAAGCATATTCTTTGCATTTCACAATGTCCAGCAGTCCTGGAAGTACTGCCCAGTACAATGGTACAATATCCAAGAGAAAAGGGCCAATATGGTCCAATCTTCAAGCGGCCGGCCTTTCCAGCACTCAGCCACCTGCTGTCTCGCGCTGTACATCTTCTCATTCAGAGGTGCCAGCCTGGCCAAGGAACGCTCGAAATATCGTGAGGTAGGGTGAGGGCCATGCAGTACGTTTGAACTTGGTGCCCATTGCATCCCATTGCCACAAGAAGAACCAAAACATGTTCCAAAACATTTTCCAAACCCAAGTGGCAAAGCCTAACTTGCGCCCGGGCTCCAAGTTGTGTCGATGTCAGTCGCCCCAGTCGCCTGGGAAACTCGGCATCAATCTGCCAGCCGGTGCCACCTTTGCATTTGGGCGGCTGGCACGCCAGAACCTTCACAGGCTGAATCCTCCCAAACAAGGCGTTCCTCAGGTACCGATGGATGCACGCCGGCATCTCAAAACTCTCCAAGGCACTACAAATATCTGAAACAAAAGAGCAAGAACACTGCAAAAGCCCATGTGGAATACATATTAGAAGTTGGTTCGGAATTTTGTGCGGATATTTTTTTCCCAGGACATAGCCCCATATCATGGCCCAATGGCTGTTTGAGTTGTTGAGGTTGCGTGGATTTTTCTTGTGACGATTCTTCATCCTGTCGACATGAACAAATCATTAACCCAAGGCTCACAGCATGGAAGTAGCTTGCACTAGATGCATCGGCCTCAATCTGGAACTCTCCTGCCATGGGCATGCAGTGATAGGGCTACAAATTCCCACTCGTTCCTTCACAGTTTGGAAAAGCAACCTGCCATCAAATCCCTAGAGCATTCTCAATAAGCTATAGGCTTTTTGTTGTAATGTTTAGTAAGGCATACTGTACATAAACCATCATAAACCACCCATTGTTGATGGTTTACACCACCCACGTATGGTAAAATTATGCAAATTTGGGGTGGATCCTATTGCTTTCCCAACAGAAAAATCCTGAGCCCCGTCCTCCATTGTGTGGGAAAGCCTTCAGCAGCTCACGTGTCATCTCCTGGCTTTCACTCGGCGCACCACTACCCACCAACACTGGGGGCAATGACCAACACAAAATGGAGAGATGTCACAAATGAAGAGGATATCACTAACAAGAACCATCCGAATACTAGTCAGGAACTCATAGTGAATGTCATCAACGCTCATTAAGCTGCCGTAGGTTGGGGAGAAATACTGCCCACTGACCGCACAAACCATGGTGGTAGCCATCCTGGCCCCTGTTTTCAATCCGGGTCTCCACGTAGGGCAGCTCATCTGGATTTGCACCAGCAGGGATGGAGACGTCCCACTCTCCAGCGCGGCTCGAAAGGAGCAAGGCGCTGGCAAATTGGGAGCTGTCCTGGCCCAAAGCTGCCTGGGATCCCTCAACAACTACGAGATTGTTCCTTGTTGGGGGTGTCCTCCTTACAAAATTACGTGAAACGGCTAAAGAATCTTTAGCAGTTTAGCACAACTACATATAAGGACAAGAAAGGATGAGACAGCAAGCGCGGGCATCCTTTCTTTTTCTTTCCAGATTCAAACAGGTAGGGTCCCAGCGACATCCAGCGACTGGCTGAACATCTGTTCTCAACATCATCACCAGCTCAATCTGTCCTCAACACTCACGGTGACGGAGCCGCGCACCGGCCCTTTTCCAAAGAACAGCGCTGGCAGTTTGTTGTTGGGTGTGTCCACCCGGTAACCCAACTTTCTCAGCGCTTCGATCAACTCCTGGAGCACTTCAAACAGCAAAGGGAAGTGCCTTGATGTGCCTTGAACCCCCAAACGGGCACCATCTGGCAACACTTTATAGAAAACCATATCTGAAACCCGATTCCTCGGGTTCTATGCGTGATTTGAGAAGTATACCGTATACCATTGTTGGATCATCATGCTTCAAACATTTGGTACAAGTATCCTCAGATTCTTTGATCTTGTTCCACAAAGTGATCCATAGTGAGGTGACAATTATATTATATTATATTATATTATATCATATTATATTATATTATATATATATATATTTATGTAACGCAGAATCCAGGAACGGACGCAATGCCAGCTCGGGTTTCCACCCATCAAGCAATAAAAATTAGCTAAGAAAACTATAATTCGGGATAATCTTGTATGTTTGCAATAGGGCACGCCAAAATGCCATGGTTGATCATCATGTTTTTTTTCCAGAAATTTGCAATTTGGGGTAGAAAAAACCCAGTATCCCCCAAATTGTGGGACAAAATCATGTACCCTCTGGTAATTTAACATAGCTATGGAAAATCACCATTTTTCATGGGAAAATCCACTATTTCTATGGCCATTTTCAATAGCTATTTTGACATAACCAGAGGGTATATCCCATTAATCATCATTAATCACCAATAAATCACAATTAGCCATGATTAACCACTATTAGCCATTACTAACCAATAACCAGAGGGTAGTTGAAAGGTTGCCACAAACCCCAGCTGCATGGGATACCACGGGATCTCCTTTTGTGGACGCTCGTGCATGCGTGGCACGCCCGAGATTCGATAGACACCATGGCCGAGGCAAACCATCGCCTTGGCGTGCTGACCCTTGGTGAAACCAACCCATTGGGGCTGCCTCAATAGCCATAGCCTTGGTCTCCGTGGTCTCTGTCTCCGATTTTTGGATGATTATGATGATTATATCACATGATGCACACATCAAAAAAAAACCTTACATCCTTGTTTGGTTGCTAAATCAAATGTCCCCAAATATTTAAACGGTTCTAGATCACCATTCTGTGATGGTTCCTCTTACTTCATCCCCTTGCTTCAATTTTTTGGCTCAAATCCAAATTTGCCACGCGTGTGCCCCATCATCCCACCAAACAAATTGATGATAGCCCATCAAAAGCCCCATCTTCTAATGTGGCTTCAATTCTTTGACCCCAAAAAAACAAGATGTCTTGATATGGTGTTCCAAAAATAAAGCCCCAGTTTACCATGATATTCCCATCGTATCCCCGTTATATCTGGATAATTCTAACCTGAAGGCCACACCACGGGGTGGAAAACACCCCAATCCCAACCATCATTCCAGTGACGTCGAATTATCATGATATTCATTGACATTCCGCGCCATATTATACCATATTGTACCATCATTTTTGCTGGTCAACCCCCGATTTTTGATTCTTAAATTACCACTAAATATCGCTACATCATCATTTCTGTTGGTCAAATATGGTCAAGACTCCCACTTTTATCTTTTTCATGGTGTCCCAAAAATTATATCCGATCAAACTCCCAGTTTCCCATGACATTCCCATTAGAAGTCATTAAAGTCATTATATCCCCATGGAATTGCCCTTGAAATCCCCTCATCCCATGCGGCCCATGGCACCGACAGAAAGCGCGCGGCCGTCCCGGCGTTGGCCACGAAGAGCTCCAGTGGAGCGGCTTCGGTGCCGCCCTTGGGAAGCTGACCATTGCATCCTGCTGGGGATCAAGTGGTCATGTAACGGGGGATTATTGGAAGGCTTATTGGAAGTAACTATATAACAAGATTAACAAGTAACTGTTTGGGGATTAAGATGGATTAAGACTTGAGAGTAGGATAGAGGGCTTAGTTGGGAATAAACTTGGCATTGGGCATAATTTTTGGAGGATTTGGAAGGAACCTTGGGATAATAAGGGGGTTAGTCACTAAACCCTCGGATAGCTCCAGTGGAGGCGGCAGTCCTTGGATGGTGATGATGCGGTTGGCATCCAGCTCAGGGTCCACGGCCACATCCACCTCGATGCCTAAGCCTTGGTTGATCTCAGTTGATCACCTACAAGTTATCATGATCATCATATCAGAAACACACACGCACACACACACACATTTATATATATATAGTAATATATATATATACTATGAGGATATATGATATGCCATTAAAATAGCCAATGTTGTTGCTGGTTGTTGGAGGCAGACATCCCCGAGCCAGCCGTGCCAACAAGGCACGTTTCATGCACTCCACCATGGCCTCCGTGTCTTCGCTCCACAGGGCGCCTTTCAAAATTACTTCTCCTTTGCCCAGCGCCGCCAGCACGATGGCCTGATGCGCACCACGGCCATGACAAGGTCAGGATGCCGCGGATTTCTGGCTTTGGTGAGAAATGTATAGACATGGATAGAAATGGAAGAAAGATGAAGAAAGGAACCAACTGTCTTGCCAATGAACTTGTTTCTGAGGTAGTTCTGTTGCACCGCTGTGTTTTCACATTTTTTGGGGGGGCAGTTCGAATGAATGGGCATCCGATGACATCGCATCACGTAAACGTAACAGCGCACTGGCAAATGCACCGTGTCGCACACTTGTGTCTACAGCTTGTTGCCACAGTTGCGTCGGTTTTTGCCCAAGATATCTGAACTGACACTGTACCCAATTGCATGTTATTCATGGGCATGCACATGTCATATGGCTTTGCCCAAACAAACAATTATAGTAGTTAGATGGGGTACCCGTAAATCCAGTGGATGATCGTCATTTTCCGAATACAATAGCCTGATTGATCAGAATTGTGGGTTGATCCCCCATTTGCAAACCGATGTGCTTCTTCATGAATTGTCATGCCAAGCCGCGCGGTTTGTAATGCCTCAGTGCACCGTCGCAGCATCTCATACCCATCATACCCTCTCCACCCTCTTCATCCTGGATGCAAAATGATCTTAGAAACACCCCCGTTCAAAACAGAGTAAGAATGGGGAAGAGTGATGAAGCAATATGAAACATCTGAAGTGACAGTGGTAAATATCGGAATCCCACAAATGGGATTTCGATCCAAAACTGTCCATTGTGTTTTCTCATGTTTTCTCATGCGTTTTGTTCATGCTGTTTTGCTCAAATCATCAACCAAAAAAAGAAGAGAAAACACTGGGAAAGATCCATGTATCATCTTCAAATCATCAACCCAGTCTTTTCAAATCATCCCAAAACACTGGAAAAAATATGAAAAAATCCCTAAGCACTGCCCATGCTGCTCTTGGATCCCGGCACCATGATCTCGGCCTTTTTCCATTGGAAGCTCCGCAGCTGTTCCTTTGACAACGGCACGATCTCGATCAGCTCCGGCAGCGGCATGTCCGCCCCAAAATTGCCCCCGGGGGGCCAGAAAGCTGAGTCAAAAGCTGCAGAAACCCGCAGCTTGAGAACTGGAACACAGAACTCGAGGATTTGCTGATATGTGATATGGACTTTTATAGGTTGACAATGGTTGACATTATATTTACGTATACGTATATTATATATATACATACATAGCTTGTATAATATATATATGTGTGTGTGTATGTGTATATAATTTTAGATAAATCACATAGTTCATATGCGATGATATGTAGTATGTATGTTAATGTTACTTGCCTCCTAGTTTCCAGGATTCCAATTCTATTTGGGCGTAATGCCCACTTCAAATATACAGTTGCCAATACGATATCTTTTGGAGATTTGCTGAATTTATGGGGTCCCAATTTGTGCATGGGATGATGTGCTCGCACCCACAGATGTTCATGTCTTTGTTCCTGCATTCAACCATTGGTATGTGTGCTGGCTCAATACTCGTTGCTTGCTGGTTAGATTCACCAACTTTGAGTTGCGGAACCGACCACCAAAAATCACCTGGATGCTTCTGAAAATAGTGCTTTTCTGCATTTATGGCCATATTATGGCCATTTATGTCACCGGGAATATCATTACTAAATAACTGAACTGGACGATTTCCTATTCTTGCACTGTGAATAACGATGGTTTCGACAGTTCTGACTGTGAAATTTTGGGCAAGGCCTCCATTTTTCGAAGATGGGCAAGACCACCCCAGTCCAGGCTCCACCAGGCTCCACCAGGCACCCCGGCCACATTGGCCGATGCCTCCAGCGGCCTTCGCAGCAGCTGCGTCAACGGTTCCCGTGGCCGCGCCGCAGGCTCTGCGCCACGGAGGAAGGCAGACAAGGCCAGCAATGACCCTTGGGCGATGCTTTTTGAAGGTGACTTTCAGCCGCTTTCGGCCGGTACATTTGGGAATTCATCAGCATAAATGATCCAAAATGATTCAAAATGATCCAAGACTTGCATATCTTGCACCAGCGGCAGAAATGGCAATTTAACCAGCAAAATAACGCTTGTACAGGCAAGTAGCGGCTGACGCTGTCGCCCATGTCCTGGCAAAGGTCTTGAAATAGTTTGAAATGAAAATCCAAGGAACCGCGCTTCCAAAATAGCCGTATGAGTCTATAGTATCTATCGGTCTATTCCCCTCTATCGGTCTATTCCTCTCTATCTGTCTATCTCTATGTCTATATCTACCCCTCACAGGGGATGATGTTGGGGTGTCGAGCTAGAAAGGGCCCAAAATTCTCGTCTTAGTTTTGACATGCAAGCGCGGGCTGCGAGTGTAATTAACTGTTTCGAATGATTAAGATATTCAACCATGTTCAACCCTCCAAAAATAAACCGTTCCTTTGTGTTGGTGCTATTTGATTTTATTCGAGTCGTGTTGCCAAATGCTGCCTACAGTACGATCAAAATGCATCAAGAAGCTGATCACCAGGGTGCCAGCTGCCTCAGCTGGGTGTGGCCTGCTTTTGGCTCTCAAACTATCGAAGATGGAACCTGATGGAACCATACCGACCATACCATAATAATCATCCATAATCTGGTACTGCTATGGATTATAATTATGGTATGGATGATAATTATGGTATATGATAATTATGGTATAGCTATTATCATCCATTATCTCCCCAACATTGTTGGCTCTCAACTAACAGCCTGGTTTCCATGTCCGGATCATTGTCGCTCCTCACCGTCCCACGATGCCAGGTCGACCAAGCTCAACACGCAGGGCCTGCAGGACAGAGAGAGTTCGAAACCCCAAAACGAAATACAAACAAAACACTGAATGATTATGGATGATGATTATGGATGATTATGGATGATGGTTGATGATCAATTTCCATAAAATAAATGGGAAGACCCATGAAGACCCCTATTTTGCAGCGTCGAATTGTTAAATTCCGGGATATGTCTGGCACTTTGTGCAACTAGACTCCACTGAAAACAATGGAACCCAAAGGCCATTCCAACCTGTCCAACCCCACCTTTGGGGGTGCCATCTTGGTCTCTACCGGATGCTCTACAGTCTCTACAGGAAACCATGGTTTTCCCCAGTGAGGAATCCACGCCTTGACTCATTGCGACTTCGAGACTCCATGTGGATGAGGAAAATGGTATGAGACCTACGCAGGAGCGCCAACCGAACCTCCCAGAGACATCCAGATTGGTTAACCCCTTCGCCCTCACATGAAATATATCAATTTACATTAAATGCCATCCATGAAAATCCTGCTTTAGTATTGGAACAATTCATTTGTTGGCCCCTTGTGGGCATTTTGAATCATAGAATATTGAGGGGAAGAGATCAAAAGCATACTAAGGTGAGGTCTTCAAGTGGATGTGGGTGGGAACATGAGCTGCTTCCACAAACCACTTGGATTTGCTGTACTAAAACTTGAATGCTCCGGAACCGGGATGACTCATGGTAAATGTATTATATCTGTAGGTTCCAAGTTCTAAACATCCAAAGCCTGATTTCAAGCTGTGTTTCATAGTTAATGTGTGATAGCGTTGAATAGTTTCCTAAAACTCCAACCATGCTGAGGTCGTTCGAGGTTGGAATGGTCACAGAGCCTCGATCCAGAAGGGTCCCGTCGAGTCCTCCACTTGTTTCCTCGAGCGCAAGCTGTGGTTCTGCAGATGAGATCCCAACTTTCGGGCAATTTTGGGGACCATAGTGTCAGTCCAAACACTCTCCCAGAATTTGGTTCAAATGGTAATTTGCAAATGACTCTTTTTGCTTGCCAAACAACAAGATTTGTATAGCTATGTCCAGCATGGAGCCTCACAAGTGTTTTTTCCAAGAGTTTACCCATGTTCATCAATTTTCCACATATCTACATATCTACATTATCACATACATATCATACATCACGTGTAATATGTGTAATGTCATATCATTAATCATTAAGAACTATACATCCACCCAGCTCCAGCGGCTCCTTCCAAGAGGCACCGCAAGATGTCCTCTGGCCCCGAACGCACCGTGTGCCGCGTCATCTCCTGTTGGACAACCCTCACCCGCGGCAGCGGAAGGCCGCTTAGGGATCCGACCTGGTGGGAGGAACTGGGACCACCTGAGCCAGTTTTGTTTAAAAGAATATGAGAAATATCACCATTATATAAATTAATAGTATTTAATAGTGATATTTAAACATTAAGTATCTACATAATCTACATATAGGATGATAATGGATGATCTTGCGATATAAAGATGGGTGATCCTCTAGAAACATCGCCACATACGTCTTTTGATGTGGAAAATCAACGATGTTTGCAGCGCAGAAAGTCACCCTGCTGGTCCTGCCAGGGACGGGGCAGGTCGGCTCCAGTCAGCAAGTCTTTGACCCCATCAGCCACCCTGAGGGTGGGCTTGGTGGGGTTGGTGATGTTGGTGGTTTCAACCCACCCTACAAATATCATTACCCTCTGGTAAACTAACATAGCTATGGGAAATCACCATGTTTAATGGGAAAACCCACTATAAATCACCATTTTCAATAGCTATGTTAAATTACCAGAGGGTATGTTCTGTGTGTTTTCCTATAAATATGCAATTTGATGATAGATCATCCCAAATGGAAACCAGCTCCCCCGAAGATGGCAGCCAGGAAGCTCCAAGTACGACACCTGCAGTAGTTGCCTGGCTGGAATCCCTCACAGTTGTAGATATGTCTAGATGGATTGCATGCTAAAGAAATGGGATTTAATAAACGCGTTTGTGTATGTTATATATATGTATGTATGTATATATATATACATATGTGATATGTATAAGTATCTATATATATATTATCCCCCTCCCTCTCTGATCTATTGAATTTCCAAATGCCTGATGATATCTATACGTTGTATTTGTTGGATTGCCAGGTGAGGGATACTGTAACTACATCAACATCGCCTCCTCACGGGCGGTACCCTGGATTTAGCTGCCAAAAGCTGTGTTTTTTTTGAGAACACTTTTTTTTGTGATTGAAAGCTGTGGATTTACCCTGTGTTTTTTGGAACAACATGTTTTTTCGAAAAACTGAAGAAAGTTGAATAAGTGTTCAAAAAGTGACACTGTCATAATCTGGCGAACACAATGGAAAACTACGAATCTGGGACGGTCGAAAAACCACCCAGTTCGATGGATTGTGTGCATAGGCCTATATATCCCCTTACCAAGACATACCCTTCCAAACACGACCAAGTCGAACACTGGATGTTAATGCAAGTTAGATGATCCCCTTCTTGAGGGTCTGTGCAATGCTCCAGGCCTGGACTTTGGCTGTTGCTGCTCCCAGATCTGTGCAGCCGCCAGTTGCACCCAACCGGGGCTGTGGCTGTTGTCGCCCTGGCACAGCTGCAACGTGGGAGCAGAAAATGGTGTGGTGCCACAGAACCTAGAAGAACTCCACTGAAACTTAGTGAAACAACTTTAGAGGCAATAAATATCGCGGAGGTTGTCTTTGGCGATGGGTCAGCACAAATTCCCTTTCGGATCTCAGCTCAAAGTGCACCAGCCTGCATGGTGAAGGTCTTCCCAGATGCCTGTCCAAAAATCCGCAGACCAGGCTTGTTGCTGACTCCCTCCAATGATGATGTCCAGTGTTTTTTGCTGGCCAAAAATCATCAAAAGTATGGATTGAAAAGTCCAGGCGTTGACTTTTACCAACCTTTATCCAACCCTTCATTACTGAGATCATTACTGTACCCTTTGGATCCCTTGGGTTCGTTTCGGCACGATTCAATACCAACTGGTTCTCCCTCCACCCCGAGTTCCACACCCGTGGGCCACAGGCAAAGATGGTGCAGGTCGCGCCCTCGCAGAAGGCATCGATCACATGTTGCACCTCAGTGGGATTGATCAAGGATTGATCATGGGGCCGACATGACCTGGATGGAGTCAATCCATCAACCCTTGCCGGTTCGGCGTCACGTATGTGTAGCGTCGATATGCATATGGAGTTTTACGTGGGTTAAGTTCTTTTGTTGATATTGATAAATTTCATTTATTTATTTATCTATCTATTGGTTCATGTGTTAATTTATTAATTAAGTTATGTATTTATTTAATCTATCAAGTTGTTTATTAATTTATTAATTATTCATTCATTTATTTATGTATTTATTTATGTATTTTCATAATATGATATAATAGCATATCATATCATATCACATATCACATATCACACACATATATATATATACATATATTCATACACAGATCTGATTGGTGTATATTATCTTTGCATACACGCAAAACAATGCCTTGCTGCTCTACCGTATCTTGCTATTCCATTAAGAGTCACACCCGCCTCTAACCCCACAACCAGGGCCCCCTACGGACCTTTCGTAGAGATCCCAGTTCGAAGCCCTGGGCCCAAAGACTTCATCGAAACGCCATCGCTCTCCCGACCTCAGGGGCACATGCTGCGATAGATTTCATCCATGTGGCACCCCCTGGTGAACACCAAAAGATAGCTGGGATTTACGCATGTTCATCCCTCAAAGTATGGCATATGTTTTGGTCCTTCCCCCCCAAAAAAAAAACACTTAGAGAGACCTGGAGGTACGAGTACTGAAGTGGTAAACCAAGCATCAATCATCCTCAATTCTTGCCCCAAGGGGTCGTAGAAACCATCCACAATTGGAGGATATTCGAGTTTGATTCTGGGCACACACATTGTGGAAAGTACATGAGCAATCATGCAAATATCCCTTACTGAATTGCGAACATCGCAATATTGTTCCATTGAAATTGCCATAAGTTACTGGGCAAATCCCACATGCTTGGGTTCAAAAAGTGGACTACCCTCTGGTAAACTAACATAGCTATTGAAAATGGCCATTTATAGTGAGTTTTCCCATTAAAAATTGTAATTTTCCATAGCTATGTTAAATTACCAGAGGGTAAATCTCCCCAAGTGTGATGGTTACAGCCCCATAGCTGCCATAGCTGGATGGTAAATCATGTGAAATCACCACCCATCCCCCAAAAAATGAGCCTCCCGACCCATCTGCCAGGAACTTTTCAGACATCTCCCAGTGGCCGCCACTGCTGGGACGCAAGCGCACGGCCACCTGGAGCCATAAAGCTACCATTTGGGGATGGTTGGAATATGTTGGAATATCCACCCATACAAATCATTAAAAAAATACATTTTGGGGATGGTTTATTATTGGGTTTACCACATTTGTCATCCAGACCCTCGAACTTTACACTACAATACCATACAATACCCGTTCATCATTCTTTGCAAGGGAAACGAAATGTCCACAAGCAGTGGGCAGATTCTCTCAAACAAACATCCGCAAGTAATGCGTGAAACTTCTCGCAGCTCGAGACAAAGCGACCATTCCCTGGCAGCTGTGCATTCAAGGGGCGGAGATGCGACAAGCCGATGGTTTCTCCATGTTGGATGGCTGATCACCCTGAGACCCTGAGAGCTGCAAATCTCCCCGCAGCTCCAAAATGGCTTGGGCCAGTGCTTCGAGTCAAGTCACGAAGGCTACGCTGATGTTGTCCACCTAGCTGATCTAGCCTATCTAGCTGTTTGCGGGTTCGAAGGTTCGAAGCACATCTGGAAAACAAATGAAACAACCAGTGGGGTCCGTGGTCCAGCTGAAATTGTCAGCTTAATGCTCATCCTGAAGGTGTGGAGAGCATACGATGCCCAAACATGCCCAGACTATCTTCCACCTGAGCTCAGGTTGTGAAACGAAGTGTCAAATGCAATTTCGTAGTCACATGCCTATGCATGTCTATGCAATATACCAAACTCGGGAAATTGGTGCGAGCCTTGGCGTTTCGGCCTCAAGCCTTGGGATGTCGGGGCATTTGTCACCCCTTATCATAGAGGCACCACCGAGCCATTTCATTAGGGGGTCCTTTGCAGCCACGTAGTGCTCGATGATTCCCAGCTCCATTTCCTTCAGATAGACAGCTCCGACTTGCCATCAAAACTAGATTGGCCCCCCCAAAAAAAAGATCCTAATTTGATTGGAAGTCCCTTTCATACCCGCGCATATCCGCAAGGATATGTCCAGACCAGAATCACTAGATATTTATTGCCTGGTTTTTCTATTTTACAAAGATGACACGCAACAATACATATATTTAAAATACATGTATATATTAATACAGATGTATACAGGAATTATAGAGAACATCCCCACAAGTAACATAGACATAGACCCCTGCTGCTCGGGGCTTCCCAAAACGTACCCCGCGTCCTCGGACTTGCTACTCAATGCCTTCACCGCATCGCGCACGGGATGGAAGGCCTTCGCCTTGACTGCTGCTGGGCTTATGGAGATAGAACGGGGATAGAACGGGGATCGAACAAGGATAGAACAAGGATAGAATGGAGAGGGGCAAATCATGGGAAATATATGGAAATATCACCAACTTCATCCCTCATGTAGTATTTGGGATATCTCTAAAAATGGGGGATACCAGGTTGCCAGTTTCATACGGGACAATGATGATGAAAAAAAAAGGATTTGGGGGCATCCTATAGTATTTTAACACAAACCCACATCTTATCATTCTGGCACTGAAGCCCACAAAATATCATGGAGAGATTCAACTACAACTATATATATATATAAGCGTCAACAATTATAAGTGTGCGTGTATGTGTGTGTGTGTGTGCGTGTCGGGAGGTGAGCCAAAATACTATATAGATCTATATAGGTTTGTGAAGCAATGAACATGAGATAGAAAACAGAAATTAAATAAATGGACTAATTAAACATGATTGAGCCGGCAAAGAAAGCGGAGATATATGTAGAGATCTAAGTAACAGAATGGGCACATAAACCACAAGATAGGCAGATATTACATAATATTGCGGCCAGGCGCTGCGTGTTGCCCGGAAAGTTCACATGGCGTTTAAGCATTATCCTTCAACATGCTCAAACACCTGCGCAGGGCCAGTGTTTTGAGATTTCCCAGACGACGAGCCCTAAACCCTAAATCCTAAACCCAAAAACCCTAAAGCCCTAAAACCCTAAACCCTAAAACCCAAACCCTGAAAACTTTGAATCCTAAACCAGAAAACTCTGTGTATATGCAGTATTTTCTGCAATCTCTCCTATCTTATTCAACAACACGACATCCTCAATGTTAATGTCTGGGCAACACGTGGCGTCTGTGGGTAATATTACCACATATATCCACATATTACGATTTTTGTTCCAACAAAATGATAGATAGATGTAAGTGGCTGTGGACAGCAAAGTCACAGTCCAAAGTACCTGCCGAAATTCCCACCATCTCGATTTCGTGGGGTGTGTCCGATGAGTCTGACTGCGGGCAGCAGTTCATTTCCACCAGGCTACCAGGTCTACCATTCTCCAAGTCCAATGTTTTCTTCTGAGCACCCCAGGCAGCCCGAAGATCTTCCGTCACCATGGCCAATAGAGTCAGGGCATCCCGGAATTCCTCGCAGGAGCTGATGCAGGGTGCCCTGGAACACTCAAGAAGTGAGATGATGATCCAAACTCCAAAACCATTCAACCGTCTTCTCAGAATTTCCTCCCATCTCCCCCGAACAGTGGTTGAAATCTTAAAACCAGCACTATCCAGCACTGGACAAATGTTGGGAGCTCACAATGCAACTGTCTTGCTCCCTTCCCAACTCTCCTGGCCCTTGATGGCTTTCTTGAAGGTGGAGAGGGCCTCCAATGGCAAGGCGACCCAGCAAAAGTGTTGGAGGCTGGTTCTGAGGACAGGCGTGCCTTGTGCATGTCCCCCACCGCGCAATAAACCTGCAACCAGCTTCCAGGGATACATGTTCACGAAATCAATTGAGGAAGCTCATGGCTTCACAGTTTCAAGGCATCTGCATATGGTACAACATGCAACTTGGAACATTGGCCAAATGTGTTGTTTAAATGGTTCACTGACGTACATGCAAATGAGCCCAGCCCAAGAAAAAGTGCCGCGACTGCAACTGACACGAGAATTGAGCTGAAGGATTTACACACCTGTCCTGGTTCACTTCCCAGGATGTCCCAGTTGTTTGTCCGAACTCGCATCTGGCATGAAGCCCAACTGCCGTGCCTGAACAGACCTCAGGCTGCTACTGCTGTGGAAACGCGACCACTTCAGGCCACGATTCATTGGATTTGGGACAACATGCAAGATCCAAAAGCCATCAGAATTATAGATTTTGGTCACAAATTCAACCTCAAGAGCATTGACATTGCCATCAGCAATCTCCCCACCACTGAGCTGCCATGCATCGCATAAAAGGCAGCCAGGTCGGCATTATCTGGCGCCCCACCGATGCCTCAACCCACATCATCCAAGTAAGGGATGGGTCAAAACGTAAAACGAAGACCGCAAGGGTCATGGATTTCAGGCATTCTCAAGACTGCCAGTGGTTGCAAAATGTTGGGTAGACGCGGGGGTTGCCCGAATCTCAGCGCCTTCTTTATGAGCTCCAACATGTTCATCAATGAGTTCGTTCGGGTACAGAGAAGTGTTTTCTTCAAAAATGTGCGTTTCGCTGTGGTGGCAAGCCAATTTCTTTAGTGTGCATCGTTCTCCATTGATGCTAATATCATGGATTGGTGAAAGATGTATCAAATTGTACATCAAGTCAACTTCCGTTTTTTCAAAAATAATCAAAAATACATGTTGAGAACAACCCTTAAAGGGGATCGCGCCTCTTTTTCGTTCTCAATTGCGTCCCTTTTCAGTGAACCAAGTTGTATCTATACATACACCTTGCTGGGATGAATTTTGTCTTTGACAAAAGCCACGTAGCGCGCAAAGGCTTCCATCACCATTTCAACCCCCAGTTGCTCATGAATAAACAAGGCCGACAAACCATCGATGTGTTCGGAATCGAGAGGCAACTCAGACGTTATGACGTTCAAAAAAAAACGTTAAAATACATGTAAGACGTTATGACGTAGCAAAAGGAAGAACATGTAAGCCATTGTCACGTAGTATGTGTAAGACGTTATCACACAGAAGATGTAAGACATCAGAGCGAGTGCATGTTACAACCTAGGAAAAAAAAAGTACTTACAGGAAAAAGCAAATAGAGACGTTATTGCCACCCCCTTGACGTAGCATATATGTATATAGGCATGTAATGTATATGTATGTGATGTGATGTGATGTGATGTGATGTGATGTGATGTGATGTGATGTGATGTGATGTGATGTGATGTGGTGTGCTGTGCTGTGCTGTGCTGTGCTGTGCTGTGCTGTGCTGTGCTGTGCTGTGCTGTGCTGTGCTGTGCTGTGCTGTGCTGTGCTGTGGTGTGGTGTGGTGTGGTGTGGTGTGGTGTGGTGTGGTGTGATGTGGTGTGGTGTGGTGTGGTGTGGTGTGGTGTGATGTGATGTGATGTGATGTGATGTATGTATGTATAGATGTAAGACTCTACCCCACATGTTGCAGCCAGTCAATGTCAAATTAATCGCTTGCATTGGGGTTGCGGAGCTTAAATCAGGCCATGTCAAGAGTGAAATCTCGGCAGTATTGAATTGCTTCAGTGCCAAAAATACCTAAAAGTACGAATTGTTCTGACCCTCCCTTGAAACCGCTAAGATCTCCAAGCAAGCTGCTGCTGAGCACGGCAAACGCCTCCCAAGTGAGAAACCCGGATGGTCATTTATTTTAAATAGTATCTCTAGCAACCATAGCGCCATCAGGATTGCATCTGTTGATTTTCAAGGTGCTAAAAAAAATCATACATTCTCATTTGTGGCATGGGTCCGGACTATCTAGATATAATTATATATCCCCCAAGAAAAATCGGATGGTCAAAAAGGCCGCCTGCCGTGGCTTGCTGATCCGAAAGGAGGCCTCACACCTGAGAGCGGGCTTGTACCAACGCCCAGCATTGCTGGCAGGGACAGGATGAATATGACTATGTGGTTCTGTTGACCATGTAATCAATAAAATAATAAGCAGGCATGTACATACAATGTATCAGGATCATTGAATTGTGATGACAGCCCATGAATCTGACTTGCGAACGCGCAAACATCAAGGCGGAACGAAGTATGACCCGGCAAAGGCGTATCAGAACCATCATCCAAAACCCCCCTTGCCCTACCATGTTGCAATCATCAACTTATGGATCAACGCATGAATCTAGTCATCCCATAGCCATAGATCTGTGACAGGCCGCTAATGACCGAGGGCTCCAAGTTGCCAACAACTTCATGAGGAACCGAAAGCGAATCTTGTCATCCTCTCACGGCGATCGGGTGGAGTCCCATCCCCTTAATATTCAACACCCCCTTAAATGGTCCCAAAAATGTCTCAAATATGTGTCAATCCCCTACTAAACCATGGGTTCTGGGTGTGTTGGATATTAGGGGGAAGGGATTAGCTTTACAAAATAAAAACCTCTTTGCAGCTGAGCCTGCCATGATTATCCAAGCAGTCGAAGGGGGCCAGTGCACCAGCTGTCAGTCCTTGATCTCTTCAGCCCGTTTCCAACCTGCCAGGTTATCCTGAATCCTTGAAGGCCCTTGCAGGCTGATATTGTGCCGGAGGTTGGTTTCTTAAGAAGCGAAGAACCCCGACCCGTGAATAAATACATAAGTACAATACATAGACCTTGAAATGGTGAATGGCTGGGGTGCCAAAATGCATGACACATTAACATTTGTGTGTAACCGCGTTGGAGAAACAAAGGGAAAACAGAACCTCAGTGCATAGGACCTTCTCAACCTAAAACATGGACCAGAGAAGCGAAAAGTATTGTAAAGTGATCCTCGGGCCTAGGGCCTAGTTGATGATTCACCTAATCCACTTAGAGGCTTTCCACTTGGCTTGCTGTCTCATGGGTGTTTCCGAAAGAAAGGGGCACCCAATTTAAACCATCCAAAACCGCCTCGCAGCATGACATTGGCGGCCTGCGCTGCTGAATTTGGAAGAATCCAAGGGGTCACTGGGGTGCTAGGCTGATCCCTTCCCTTCAGCTTCAAACAGCTGTATATAAACTACAGTATCTACTTACATCATCTTACATCCATTTACCCACTTCAATTCTCATCTCAGTAGGTTAATCCAATTACTGCCCAAATTTACGCGGCACAAACTGTTAAACCTGCAGACCAAGCCACCACCATGGTGCTAGATTTCAACAACACTGCAACCCTGCGTCCAACCATATGCACTGCATCTGTCCTTCTCCCATTGCCCCTCGCTGGCATAGACCATACCCATACTCAGCACATTGGCCAAACAGTCATGGAAAGAACGCACAAGATCGCACAAGTATGCAACCTCTTGACGACAAGATAGGAGGACGACATCATGATGATATACAGCAATGAATATGCCTTAGCATGAAGAACCTGTGGATGCACGCATTCTGAATTCGAAGTGGGAAATAGATTACTGTACATATTTGTGATTTCGTGTGTGCGTGATGTTTGCGTATTTTACGTTTAGCACTCCTAATAGCACTGTCGGTATGGCATTGGTGATCATCCCTGAGGCGCAGACTCATGGATGAGCCTGAGATTGTACCTAAGCTTGAAACGGCATGAGCTGTGCTCAATGTTCAATGCATTTCAGGATGTTTCAGGGCAATCTGTAGTGGCAGCCACCTGGCTGCAATCCTAACCCCAACTTCTGCTTGACAGTTATTTAACCCGTGAAATCGCTCTTGAACCGATTGAAATATATTGAAACCGCATGGTCTGGAGATGTCTGGAGCTTGCAAAAGAATCCCTGAAGGGGAGCCTTTGGGGCCAAGCCTAGCCTAGCTATGCCTAGCTCAAGGCAATGACTCGCATCTTTTTCCCAAGCTGGAAACAGTTGTCGCAGCGCCACGGCTCGCCTGGGCACCGTTTTTTGTTGATGCCATCGCTGTCACTGGGTTGATAGCTGTTGATTTTAAAGGAGGTACACCTTGGGAGATATTGGGATACCAGGGTTCTTTCGTCCCAAAAAAAAAACCTGAGGGGTTCCCATACAGTAATTTCTGTGAGGCATATCATTAAGAGCCAAGTCTGCAAGGATCATTCAAGTTCGAGCATTGACGAGTACCCAAATGGACAGGCTAAACTTGTTCCATAGTCACTGAAAACCACTGACAAATCGATGGTCCATCCATGGCAGTTGAATTAGAAACCCAAAAACATCCCCAAAAACTGTTCGATTTTTTGCTGGATTGTGCTACTGATTGTGCTTTTCTACCTTTTTTGGAGGTCAGAATATCCAGCTGCAATAGTATTAGTTGATTGTGTTTTTCCTGACAAGATTCAGTCGACGTCAGCCACGGCCGTTGTGGGAGTTCACAGCACCTGGGAAACCAAGGAGGGGCAGCTAGGTGACACGAGGCGTTCAGGTGGTTTTGGAAAATCGAACATGTGCAGACTCTCCCTGCATGCAGTTTGCAAATAGATTTGAACAAATGGATAATTATATATATATATATGTGTGTGTGCTATCAATATATATATATATATATATTTATTTATTTATTTATTTATTTATTGCGTGTGTATATATATATATATAGTGTAGTGTAGTGTATATATATATAGCATATATAGTGTGCGTATGTGTATATATATATATATATATATAGCGTGTGTGTGTGTACATGATGTGTATCTGTATGTATATCATGAAAATGAATGTATTGGAATGAAAAATGACACATGTACTGTATGCGTTCAAATCAACAAACAAATAAGCATAATAAGCAAATTGCTACGTTGACATATGATATAGCAATGGGTAAATTACCTGTATAACTGTATCATCAATTTTATATCGGTCTGTCTGGACATAGATGGAAATAGGGCATCCAAAGAGCTGATAGTTTGTCATGTTGACCATATTTTGACCATATTCTAGCTACTAGAATTGCAAGTGCCATTCAGTGGCTACACAACTATACGCCACTGTCAGCGGACCCATATAATATAGTCCCATATATCATGTTGTTATATATTGTTGGTTCTATATATCTCCCACGTCATCCACATTAGTAACATAGTATATCAAATCTCCATTATTTATCGTTAAATCAGGCATTAAATCCCGCTATTGTTCACATGTAAATCCCACTTTTCATGCTTAAAACCTTTTCTTCACTATTCAATTTCCACAAATCATAGAGGAAAATCATCTGATACTTTTTTTCGAATCTGAGGACTTTACCCTTGAGCTTCTTCAGCTTCTGCGCCCAAGAGACGGTCGAAGCCTCCTAGCACCAGAAGTTGTTCGATGGTTAGCATTTTAATGGTTGTAGGCGTATTTAGGTGTCTATCTATCTATCCATCCATAAATACATCCATCCATCTATTAGATAAAATTTGATCCATCCATCTATCCATTCATCATCATCTATCCGTCCATCCATCTATCCATCCATTTACCCATCCATCCAGCTATCTATCGATCTAGTTATATACATTTCATCACATTTCTATTTGGAATTGTCACTACACAAATCTAAAGACGGAAATCTAGCTCATCTAACCACCAAAAAAAGGCTTCCCCTACCAGTCCGGCGTTGCAGGCGCAAGCGACACCGCCGGCGCGACGGGAGGCGCGGGAGGCGCGAGAGGTGCAGAAGGGTGCACGGCACCTGGGCTGGAAATCCGCCGTGGAATTCCACAAAAAATTGCCATTTTCCATGGAAAACTATTGAAAAACCGTTAGGGGAATTATATGATGTCTATGCTGATTATATCTGATTAATTCTGATTATGTTCCAGTTCAGGATGATCATTCGCAATTCAATCGGTTCGAGATGTTTCGAAATCATCAACTTCATCTCGCACTGCGAAGCCCCTTGTATGCGTTCCCCTAGGTCTGATCTCCCAGGGTCCATGAAACCTGACGGCATTAAGGCTACTTTTCTAAGGCAAGGCAACACGCACCAAAGGCACCCATTTCGACCCCACCAGGGTCCACGAAACAACACGGACCTCACATCCCCTAGCTGCATCCAAGAAACCCTTCAAAGTTTTGAGCTTTTTGGCCCAGTCTGCACCATCCTCCTTCGGTTCGGGATGTACAGCTCCTAGCAGCCCACCCCCAGGTCATGGGTGGCTCGAACTTTCAACGAAGAGAGAGGATGCCCGGAGGAACCTGAATCCAAACAAAGCATGCCGAAATGTAAATGTACCTCCAATGCTGGGGCAACTAATGTCAATTTCCGTATATCTCATTGCACTGAACGAATCACGTGAACCCCATGACCGAGACATGCCTGCAGTGTCGCCAGACCCCATACCCATGGCATAGGAACAATTCAAGGCCCATTTGCAGAACAAAACCTTCCATCTAAGGACTGGGTATGAAGCCCCAATCTCTCTACTCAAGTGTCATTCCTTGGATTGGTTTAAGGGACATTTTGTGCGAAACCCCTATAGTTGATGGGTAGAAACATGTGAAAACATATATATATATATATAAACCAGGGTTTCCTGTAGATTTTCCCCACAAAACCCATCCATTGACTCATGGCAAAACGGCCTCGCCTTTCATGGTCTTCAACTTCTTGGCCCAATCCTCACCGGCCTGGCTATGCTACCATGGTCGGTAGGGTTCATGAAGCCTTTTTGGATCGATTCGGATTTCAGAAGGTTCTGAAAAACCTCATGTTTTGCTGGTTACATCACTTTTATCATACAGTGGTTAATGCCATGACGTTTCCCCATTTTTTTTGGTGGCGTTCTTGCGGATTCGGTTCATCAATCCCGACAGCTTTTGCACCTTGGATTCTTTTGGCGCTTCCCTTGCTGGAATGCTGGCCAAGGGCACGCCTGGTACTCCAATTGAGCAGCGAAAATCCTGGTAGTTGACATGCCATTGGTTTACACCATTCGAATATTGATAGTATAATTAAGTATATTACATGGGCACTAGATGTCCATGATTTTCTGACTCCGGCAGCAGTGCTGGACCGCTGGTTAACTGAAACCAAATTCAAGCCAAGCGGATCAGAAAATGCCCGTACACATGCTTTGTTCAAAAGATGCCGTACGCGCTCTATTTTCCGTTCTTTACATGAAACAGTCTCTTTGGTTGTTCTAGCACAAATTCTCTTCAGAGGACATGTGGGTAAATATAGCGGCAACAGCTGGAAACACTTACAATATCTTACAATCAAATTTTGTTGTCACCCACCTTCCCCAAATTGCTGGCCTTTGAGTTTTTTGATCTCCTCAGTCAGGTTGGCTGCCTCCTGTGGACGGCTCAGCTTTCCCCCCCCACTTGCGCCTGTGTGTTGTAGGGAAGCTCACCAAAGTTGTGTGATTGCTTTGGGGGGTGAAGGAGATCAGGCGAAGAAATCCAGCACCATGTGGAAACCTTTTGTTTCAAAACAAGGATAACTCGGATCCACAACAGGATCTCCCATCTTTCACCGTGACTCAAGGACCAAAGGCATCCAACACTGACCCGGGACTTGTCCTCGGCCTTGGAACGCTTTTTGGAACCAACTGGCTGCACGCCAAACCTCTGCCAGGCATTGTTGGCCGGACTCTGTGCAACAGTGGGTGCATCTGTACGCGTCTGCATGCGTAGATGGATACATATGTATATATATATATATAATTATATATATATAGTATACGTACATGTTCATTTCAATTGATGTGTGCCATGTTCTTTCGACCTGTTGCTGGATTTACATCTGTTTGGCTTCACACCACCAGCGTAGAAAAAAAAGATGGATTGTGCATGATAAACCATCTAAAAACCTTACCTTAATGATCTTAATGAAAACACTTGAATTCTCTTAAGATAAAAACCAACAATAGCAACAATAATAATAATAATAATGATGATGATGATGAGAAATAACATAATATCAATATCATAATAATAGACCATTATTACAAGAAAAACGAGAAAAAAAAACATAGTCATATAAAATCAACAATACTCAGAATCAAACAAAATGATAATCCATGGTATTCCATGAAACTCACCATGCCCTTGGCACCCTGGGCCGCCCTGGCGCATCCATCAGCTTCTGCCGTAGCTCCTCCCCGCAGCCACCGCCATCGGGCCAGGGTGCCAGGTTGGCGCCGGCCGGGCGGCACAGCGCCCCGTGCAGCTCGGAGCCTTGGGCATCTGGGGATCTGATGATATCATGGGAATATTATGGTGATTGACATTGATTGACTGATTATGATGAGATATCTATCTATCTATCCATCTATCTATCTATCTAATCTAATCTTATATTATCTTATCTTATCTTATCTATCTATCTAT